AGTTCCTTATTTTTCTAAACCTCAGTTTTCTCAACTATCAAATGGGAGTGATTATATAATAGGATCACTTATGGGACAACTGTGTGGCTTCACTGGTTTAATTCAAATATGGTACTCATTGCAGTTCCTGGTTCCCCGTTAGCATTCCATAAACATGATGAATTAGAGATATTGCTAGCAGGGGAAGTTAATTGTCAAAATGATTAAATGTGGCTGTCTAAGATTTATTTACAGGACTTAAGTGTTTTTTGTTTGTTTGCCACAATAAAAATATTTATTCCAGCCCTGGCTGGTTTGGCTCAGCAGTCAGAACGTCAACCCCCAGACTAAGGGTCTTGGGTTCGATTCTCAGTCGATTCTCAGGGTTCGATACTTGAGTTGCAGGTTTGATCCCGGGCCCTCTCGGGTCTGTGTGGGAGGCAGTCAATTGATATGTCTCTCTCACATCGTGTCTCTCTCTCTCTCTCTCCCTCCCTCCCTCCCCCTCTCTACCCCTTCCACCCTATCTAAAAAAAAAAAATTCAATGGAAAAATATCCTTGGGTGAGGATTAACAAAAAACAAAACAAAACAAAATTATTTCACTGATTCCCTGGTAACCAAAATTTTAAGTACTTATGTACAGAATAATTCACAAGGTTTTATAGAATGGGCCCTGCTCTCAGGAAACTTGCCTTTTGGTGAAAAGATAAATATGCATGACCAGTGCAAGACTGGCTGTACCAAGGGCCATCCCAGCGAGACTGTAGCCGTTCAGAGAGGGGTGGTCACAGTGATTGATACCAAAGTAAGATTTCACAGGTGATGGTCAACCTGATGGTTTTCAGGATAGATTTTTATAGTTTGGATAATTCCAAACACTGTATAAGAATATTTTTAGCTATATAACAGAGTACAAAGATTTAACAGCAACAATTAGCTATGCTTTGCAATTTATATTAATTACACTTAATTACTGGTCATTTAGGTTGGGCAAATATATGCATATTTTCTCTTTATAGAGCGTGCTCTTAGCTGGTCTTGGGGTATGCAGAGCGATGGAGTTTTGTGCCAGCAGTGTGGTGCTAGGCAGGCTTGCACCTTGATAGAAAGCACAGGCCCTGGAGCAGAACCCCGAGCTCCTCCATTAGCGGCCTCTGGTGGCCTTCAGGAAGTTAGATGGCCTCTCTCTCCGTGCCTCAGTTTGTCATCTGTAAGCTGGGGTGTGATTGTACTAGTGTGTACTTCATAAGGCATGCTATAAAGACTACATACATGAGTAAGTATCTTTGAAGTCCTAAGGACGGTGTCTGGCAAAGAGTAAGCACACATGTGTTAGTTATCATCATCGGTCCCTCTTGGAACAATCAATATTAACATTTAATGGACTGCTGTCTGGTCAGACTTGGGCATTGAGCTTGTTAGTTTCAGAATAGAATACAATCAACTGTGCACATGGGGATAGAAGCCCATAACTTAAGACCTTCTGAACCTCATTAGCTTCGTGGCCTTGGAAAAGGAGGGGGGAGGGTTGGGAGGGTCCCTATTTCAGATCCAGATATGGAAAGCCCAGCCCCAGTCTCAGCTACAGCTCGCTCGCTCTGTGATCTATGGCAAGCTCTCCAGTCTCTCTCTCTCTCTCTTTATTTATTTATTTATTTATTTTTGTTATAGATGTTTCTCCTTCCCCACCACTGATACCCCCTCCTCCTCCCTCCCTTCCCACCCTGTCCCCAGCTCTGTTGTCCATGTCCATTTTCTTTCTTTTTTTTTATCCTCACCCAAGGACACTTTTCTATTTTTTGTTCAGATAGAGTAGGAGGGAGAGAGAGGAAGAGAGAGAGAGAGAAATATCGATGTGAAAGGGACACATCGAGTGGTTGCCACCTGCACGACCAACCAGGACCGGGGACAAACTGCGACCAAGGTACGTGCCATTAGCGGGAACTGAACCTGGGTCTCTCTGGACAGCAGGCTGACATTCTAACCGCTGAGTCAAACCAGTCAGGGCTCCATGTCCATTTTGATGCATACATGCATATAAGTTCTGTGGTTTATCTCTCCCCCCCACTCCCTCTTCTGGGGATTATCAGTCTGTACCCCACTTCCACATCTCTGGGACTACCCCATTCCTCAGACTGTTATGTTCATTACATTCCACAAATAAGTGAGATCGTGTGAAACTTGTCTTTCTCTGCTTGGCTTGTTTCACTTAGAATAATACTCTCCAGGTTCCTCCATGTTGTCTCACAGGGTAAGAGATCTTTCTTTCTTACAGCTGCATAGTACTCCATTGTGTATATTTACCACAGTTTTTTTATCCATTCGTCTACTGATGGACACTTGGGCTGTTTCCAGATCTTAGCTATTGTAAATAGTGCTATGAACATGGGGGTCCAAATATTCTTTCTGATTGGTGTTTCAGGCCTCTTAGGGTATATTCTTAGAAGTGGGATCACTGGGTCAAATGGAAGTTCAATTTTTAATTTTTTGAGGTAACACCATATTGTTTTCCATAGTGGCTGCACCAGTCTGCATTCCCACCAGCAGTGTGCTAGAGTCCCCTTTTCTCCACACCCTCGCCAACACTTGTTGTTTGATGATTTGTTGATGGCGGCCATTCTGACAGGTGTGCGGTGATACCTCATTGTTGTTTTAATTTGCATCTCTCTGATGATTAGTGATGTTGAGCATTTCTTTGTATGTCTCTTAGCCATTTGTATTTCCTGTTTGGAGAGGTGTCTGTTATAGTTCTTCTGCCCATTTTTTAATTGGGTTCTTCCTTTTCTTGAGCTGTATGAGCACTCTATATATATTGAAAATTAACCCCTTTTCTGATGTATCATTGGTAATTATACTCTCCCATACAGTGGGTTGCCTTTCCATTTTGGTGGTTGTTTCTTTTGCTGTGCAGAAGCTTTGAGTTTGATGTAGTCCCATATGTTCATCTTCTCCTTTGTTTTTGTTGCCTTAGGTGATGTATCAGGGAAAATTCTGCTGCGTATAATGTCTGAAATTTTGTTGCCTACAGTTTCTTCTAGGATTTTTATGGATTTATGAGTCACATTTAAGTCTTTTATCCATTTTGAGTTTATTCTTGTGTATGGTGTAAGTTGATGGTCTAGTTTCATTTTTTTGTATGCAGCTGTCCAATTTTCCCAACACCATTTATTAAAGAGGCTGTCTTTACTCCACTGTATGCTCTGGCCCCCTTTGTCAAATATTAATTGAGCATATTGTGTTGGGTCCATTTCGGGGTTCTCTATTCTGTTCCATTGATCTATCTACCTGTTCTTGTGCCAGTACCAGGCTGTTTTGATTACAGTGGCTCCAGTCTCTTATTTGTTTCTGTGAAACAGGCCTAACCTCTTGTTCTGCCTGCATGCTGACTTTTCATCCGCTTGGTAAGCACTGGGGGGAGGTACTGTTTGGGAAATGGGTGGGTGAATGAACTATATTGTAAAATGCTTTAAAAATTAAGCGAGATGTAAATGTAACCACTACATATTGAATTGATCTCAGGTTTTCATAGGAATCCAAATCTGTAGTATTCATCATAGGAGAAAATTGCATTTTTACCATATTATCTTATATTAGCCCAGTGAAGTCTTTCATCTATTGCTTACTTTTTGTATTTCCTGGAAGTCTTTCACATTGAACATGAAGTCCCAGAAAATGCATTCTCACCAGATTTCCCCCTATTTCCATCCAGGAATGGACTTGCATGTCAGTGTGCTCTCGAACGCGTCTTAACGAAGTTCTGTTCTTGGGGCTGGCAGCTGTCTCTCCAACATATTAGTGGCTTCACACACATCTGGCTCCAGAGGCCCCGGTAGGGGGAAGTTGCTCTGCCATGAGGGCTGTATGGAGATGAAGCCATACGCTGGCTGTGTGTAAAATGACACGCCAGCCTCTTGGCAGGACACTGGCAGGACAAGGAGAGCCATCGCCTTGCTGCAGAGCCAGGCTCTCAGCCCCCTTGTGTCTGGAAATGTGTGCAAGACATCATGAATTCTTTTGAAGTTCATGATTTTCTGAAAAAAAAAAAAACAAACAAAAAACAAAAAAAAAACAAAAAAAAACTTGGCCATTCTCACCCATTTATCCTTCAAATGCAATTTAGAATCATTTTGTCAGCTTCTTTGAAAAAATTTCATTGGTATTTTTAATGTGATTGCACTAAATATATAGATTAATTTTGGGAAAATTTGTACTTTTACAATCTAGAAACATGGTAAGTCTGCCCCCCCCCCTTTTTTAAAAATACCTTCTTGTTCTCTTACCTCAGTAAATGAAATATTTTGCTTTTGTTTATATAGGTTCTACATATTTCCTGTTACATTTATTTCTAGATATTGGGTATTTTGTTTTTGATTGCTGTAGTGAATAGACTGTTCTGAAATTCTATCTTGTAACTGGTGTTTGCTGATTATGGAAAAGCTGTGGATTTTTATACATTTATAAGTAGGCTTATGAAGCCCACTTACTAAGTTGCCTGAAAATGGGAAGTGATGTCGTTTGCACTTTTACCGTCTATGAACACAGGAAAAGAGAGTCTGAGGAACTTATGTTTTTATTTTATTTTCTGTTATGCTCTAAAATGTACCCTGGGTTGCCCTTTTTAAATCATTGTTGTATCCCTAGCAATTGCCTCTAGACTTGCCATGGTACATATTGGATTAATGTTTGAAATTTCTTAAATTTCTTAATTCTATTATTATAGAATTTTTCAGTTGTTTCTCTTGTCTTTTTAAAGAAAAGGATCATATAATCCCTAAATAATAATTTTGTTTCCTTTGTAGTATTTGTTTCTTTTTTTTTTTTTTTTTGATTCTTACCTTAGTATTTTGGCTAGAACTTTTAGTACAGTGTTCCGTGATATTCACCATTGCAGAAATCCTTATTTTGCTCTTGAACTTAATGGGAATACCTTTGGTGTTTAATTATTGGGCATTTGAGAAAGATTTTTGAAAATTGCATTAAAGATAGGTAGTTTATTTTGTTTTAAAATCAGAAATAGAGTCAGTACATACATATTGAGATGCTGTTTGATTGTCCAACTTTGACTGACGTGATAAATTATTTCTCTATATAGTCTCATGTTAAAGTGTGCAAAGGTGTCATTTACCTTTAACTGTCACAGATAAATGTAGAAAGGAAAGTTACCTGCTGGTAGTTTGGCATGTGACCGCAGGAGGCTTCATCTTCCTGACTGGAATGGATGAGGAAACACTCCACTGTGTAGTCACTGATGTTAACCTGGTTAATCTCATTAACTGCACTGCCTTAGTTGCAAGCCTTGGGCATTCAGGGTACAATGATGCGGGCATCCAGCCAGACCTTCATAGACTGGCCCTCAGTTCCATCTTCCTATTCCTTTTACCTGCTCATGGCTGTGAGCCAGCGTCTATTGTGTTTGCCTTGCCACCAGCCCATTTTGGGGAATACCAGAAGAAAAAGCTAAAACCTTGGAGCAGGACTTTGAAAATTATTATTATTATTTTAAATCGAAGTAAAATTTGTTATATATATGAAAAAAAGTCTCAAGGAGTTTTAAAACAGAGATGGTAATTTTCAACCCTGTTTCCCAGAAACAAGCTGCCATTTGCAATTTGGTATCCACCATTCCAGGCTTTGGTTGGTTGGTGGTTTTCTCTGCAGGAGCATACACTGGAGGACAGGTGTCTTGTCTTCTGCCAGTGACAGCAGGGAAACTAACATGGACTGAAAAGGGGCCTTGCTTACTTTACTGCATGTAATTTCATGACTCTTCTCCCGCTAACATGCTGTTTTACACTGGCTCAAGGTCAGTGTCTTAAGTGGCAGAGCTGGGATTTGGACCCAAGTCTGTTTTCCTCATGCTTGTTTCTCTCTTTCAGGGACCACACCAGTCTGTCTAAACCTGCATTAAGATGACAGCCATTGGGCACACGTGGCAATTTAAGTAAATACAAATAAAAATCCATCCCCTCAATTGCACTGTTTCAAATGCTCAATAGGCAGGTGTGGATAGTCAATACTAAAGAACATAGATGATAAAGACCAGGTAGATAACATGTGTATCATTGTAGGAAGTTCTGTTTGACAAAGATGGAAGGAAGCACTGACATCTGAAAAGTCACGAGAAGAGGTTTTTTAAAAAAATTTATTAATTTTTTATTAATTTACTTTTGTTACAGATGTTTCTCCTTTTTTCCCCATTGACACCCTCCTCCCCATCTTCTCCCCCCCCTCCCATCCTCCGCTTTGTTGTCTAGTTCATTGGTTATGTATACATGCATATACGTTCTGTGGTTTATCTCTCCCCCCTCCTGTGAGGGCTTTTTTTGAAAGTTCTACATTAGCACATTTACTAGATTCTTATGTTCTAGATTTTGAAAGATCACTCGGAAAAAAAACCTGCTTGTTCAAGAAGTGGGGCACACCTGCTAGGTCCAGAATTTTTGATGAATTACTGGTCACTTGTTACATTCTAGCTCTGCTGGACATGGGATGCAGGTGTTCTAAGAAATGCATTCACTGTGGTTTGGGTGGATCACAAAGGAGAGCATCCAGAACAAGAACATACTTCGCCTTTTAGCTTATTGTTTTTCCTGAGAAAAGTGAAGGTGATGTATTTCTTTTCCTCCTGTATGTATATAAAACCAGCAGAAGGGGAGAAGGACATACCCCTGCCCACACTTCGAGTTTTGACCATGACCCACATGGGCTGCCTCTGAGGATCCAAGTGCTTCTCTGACCAGTGTGTGCACTTGGGCCTTTTGATAGCTGCACAGTGAATAAAACTGGGGAAGGAAACTCAAGTCAGGGCAGAGGTGATGCAGGCAGGCAGAATGTCCCTGAGTGTGGGGAAAATAGAAAGGAGGGAGGGGTTTGTGCCCGTCAGCTCTTATATGCAGTTCAAACCTTTAGCATCCAGTTGGTCGTGAAGAACTTGATGGTGCGTTGGGGAGCAGAAGTGCTGGTCCCAGCATCTGTGTGCTTGAGACTGAGAACGCACTACTTCCTTCGCCTTACATTTAGTAGGCAACGTGATGCCTTCATGTGTTTAAACAAAGATCTGCCTCAGATTTCTTGGAAAATTCGTAGGGATGAACTGTCAGTGTGGCTAGAAAGTGAGCCAGGATGTTTTCCAGCACTGCTGAAACTACTGAAAAACATTTTTCTGTGTGATTTTTAAAATTAGTATATTAGTAGGACTAGTGTGATATAGATATATCTGTGTTAGTATTATCTTTCTTCTACCACTTTTCTCCTTCACCAAATGAAGGCTTGGATGTCTCATTCATTTATTGCCTAATGTGAACATCTATCTTTTATGATTTTTCAGGTTGGCCTTAATTTTATTCTTCAGTGTCAGGCTGTATTAAACCGGCTGATCAGACTAATTGTATAGGGAGGCAAGATCTTGGGTGATAAACAAGCTAATTCCTGAGTTTAAATTGGAAACTTAGATGGTTGCCTTAACTTTCAGGCCAGCAGAAATTCTTAAATTGCTGCTTTAGGGCCCTGGATGGTAATTTGGGTGTGTTAGGAAATTACAGGGAGCCATAGGGTATGAAATAATTAAGAGAGCCACAGTTGTATTTTCCACCTGCAGGTGACAAGGCCAAAGGGAACACATTTAGGGGGTTGAATAAGACTGAATGGTCTGTTTGGCTGCCTTATGGAGGAATTACTCTATCTCCCAGCGCTTAGAAATAACAGACCTGGGGAGTAGACTAAGCAAGCCTATAAAAGTAAATAGACTATAAATTCTTTAGGGAAAAAAATGTTGTTCTACCAAGACTTGTCCAAAATATTTTTATTTGGGGTAAACTCTTGTACCCTGCAATCATGCATCACCGGGGAAAAGGATGCTGTCCTCATGTGGGCGCAGAGGCTGGTGGCATCACTTCCCAGGCTCTGCGAGAGTGGAATAAACTTGCCCACAGGAGGTGATTTCCCATAAAATCCCCACACTTAGGAATTACTCACGCAGTCAACGCTGGCGCTGGTTTTTCTCCCTGAGTTCTCTTTAAGAAGCTCAGCATATTTGTGTCTCTGCGTTGGCAAACAGCATCGTCTTTCCTTTGGTTTCATACACTTACAAAGATTAATTTGGAATGAAATGTAATTGAAGGCCAATTACATCTGATGGCCAGATCTATTAGAACAGAGCAGTGTTGTTGATTAGGAAATGGAAAGCATTTGAGATAGTGTCTGGGAAATACATTAAATGCATCGAATGTCACTGCCTTGTCTAATAGCCCAATTTAAATGACATTTTCCTTTGCTATTGCATTAGGTTGTTCCAGATAGACTTCAGAGTCCGAGAGGAAGGAAACTATGGTAATGAGCACTCAGACATCTTGATACATTTATTCTTATTAGTATAAGAATTGGAAAACTCTTAAAGGAAATCTTTAGTTTTTCATTCTTCTGCAGAGAAAAAAAGGGAAATAATTCACCTCTTCAATGTAATGGTTCATTTAGCCCATAGGGACTTAATTTTATCTGAAGTGGCCTTAGGATACTTTATTCTAAGCAAATGACATCAAATCCTTGGTGTCTTTGTGTGTGCCTTAGTACAGTTTCAGTAATTGGGATATATATTTTTTTAAATGGAGGTATGATGTACATAACATAAAATTCACTATTTTAAAGGGTACGATTCAGTGATTTTTAGTATATTTGCAGAGTTGTACAGCCATCACCACTATCTAATTTCAGAATATCTTCACATCCCCAAAGCAGTCACTCTTCCTTTCTCCCTCCCCCAGCACCTGATAACCACCAGTCTACTTTTCATGCCTATGGATTTGCCTGTTCTGGAGTTTTCATATAAATGGATTTATACAAGATGTAGCCTTTTGTATCTGCTTTCTTCATTTATTGAACCATTATTGAGGTTTATCCACATCGTAGCCTGTATCAGTGCCTCACTCCTTTTTGTGGTGGCTAAGAAAGGGAAACGAGTGCACCTGTGAGTGCAGAGAAGGCCGGCCCGGACCTGTGCCAGCGAGACTGGGACCTCGATTTGGAGGAGAGGGGCTGGTTCTAGGCACAGCAGGCGGCTGAAGCCTAACAATTTTGCAGGTGACATTCAAATATAAAAACCTGCAGCGTGGGGACATGGGCCTTTGGTGGTGTGGAGTGGTCATGGTTGGGAATAGAATTCTTTTCTCCACATGAGAAACTGTTGCTGGACCACCAGGGGTTTCAGGGGACAAGGGCAGCTTCCCACTCTGCAACTCCTGTGTTGCATCCTCTTTCCACCAAGGGAAGAGTTTTGTAAGGAAGATGAAATTAAAAAAGAAGAGCTCTGGCCAGTGTGGCTCAATTGGTCGAGCATTGTCCTATGTGCCAAAGGGTTGCCAGTTCAGTTTCTGGTCAGGGCACAGGCCTGGGTTGCCAGCTCCATCCCTAGTAGGGGGTGTACAGGAGGCAGCTGATCAATGTTTCTCTCTCACATCCATGTTTCTCTCTTCCCCTCCCTTCTTTTTTCTCTAAAATCAATAAAAACATATTAAGGGATAAAAAAAAAGAAAAGAACTGAGATAGAAAATCCCCTAGGGCGAATGATGAAGAATGAGTATCTGGAAGAAACTGTGGAAGAGGGACAAAAGTGGCAGCTGATGGACTGACCAAACCCAGACCAGAGAAGGCTTGGGGCGGGAATCAGCGTTGACCATGGCCAAGGCAGTGGGCAAGCCAGGGAGCACGGGAGGGGGATAAAGGCCTTGGACCTCTGCTGAAAAAGCACATCCAGACATTGAGAAGGAACATAGACTATTGGAGGATGGTGGGGTCCAAGTTCAGCACCAGTGCCAAGGATTAGTATTGGAAAATGGATGGTTAAAGAGGCCATTTGCAGTTACAGACTATATATCATTATTTTCCACAAATTCATTACCTCTTCTCCCTCAAGGGTCTCTTAGCTTTGAAATTCCTGACTTTATGATGAGTAAACTTTGCTTTAATGTTTATTAATGCTCTATTTACTTTCCCTTGGGTGAAGTTTTGGCTAGTAATAAGATTCAATGTCTGTGCTATTGTGAGGCATTGCTTTAGTAAACTGAGCCTAAGGAAAATTAATTTTATTCCTTTGGGGAACCGTAATTACCTTTAAAATGTTTAAACTGTGCTTTGTAATGTAGTAAAATCCTATTATAAAGGAAAACATATATAGCAAAATATTCCACTTGCATATAGGACTGTAGCAGAATAGAATTTAGATAGGCCTTTATAGTTTGTCATAACATTTTGGAATGGTAGTTTTTTTGAGATGGAATTGATATTCAGTAAGCTGTACATACTTAACATGTAAGGTAATACATTTTGTCATTTGTCCACATCACCTCCATCAAGATAATGAACACATTTACCAAACCCCAGAGTTGCCTCTTTCCCCCTCTCCCAGCCCTTTGGCCCTGGGGCAACAGCTGATCTGATTCCTGTTACTACAGTCTAATTTGCATGTAGTTTTGCAAACATGGGATGGTGCAGAGTGTCCATTTCTGCCATTTGTCCCATTCAATACAATTATTTTGATATTCTTTCATATTGTTGCATATAGCAATAGATAGCTCCCCTTTTTCTGAGACACATTATATTGTGTGGATAGACTACGTATTCTTTACTCATTCAGCTATGGATGGATATTTGGGTGGCTTGTAGTTTTAGCTACCACAGGAAAGTTGCTACGAGCAGTCATCTATCTGCCTTTTTTACTCTCTCGAGTAAAATACCTAAGACTACAATGGCTGGAACACATTGCAGGTGTATGTTTAATTTTTTAAGAAACTACCAAGCTGTTTTCAAAGTGGTGGTAACGTTTTGCATCCCCCGAAGCAGTGTCTGAGAGGTCCCATTGCTCCACATCCTCGCGAACATTTGGTTTGGTCAGTCCCTTTAATTTTTGTCATTTCAGTGGGTGTGAAATGGTATCTGGATGTGGTTTTG